GATTGGCTGCTTAATTAGCGCCTTGGTGTATTTCACAGACATGGAAGTGGAGCAGTCAGTCGTGGGATAGGAGAGACAGGTGTTGCATAAGACCTCATTTCATCTGCGTGTAAATCAGACGGTGAGGAAGAATGCCCAAATGTGCTCTAAATGTGTTTGTTTTGTGGGTGCCTTCAGATTTACGGCTAATGATGTGATCTGGGCCGAGGTCACCTCAGGGTGTCCATACATGCGCATACGAACATTCCAACCTACACACACACACACGCACACACTTGGTGTTGAGTGATTGATGCTAGGGAAGAGTAGGGGCGGGAACTGAAACTGAGGCGGCCGTCTTGGCTAAATCTGAGAGTCCCTTCGGCATGCTTCCATCACAGCTGGTCAGCTGGAAATAGATAGAGATGCAACTAAACCCGAGAGACGGGGAACAGCGCAATCTGTGTCCTCGCTTATGAAAGACACAATCAGCTTTAATTAGGGACAGCTTTTGAAAGGTATTCCCATTCGCAGAGTCACTCTTTGTATATGTCTAATGCTCTGATGACAATGGAGTTGGCGGATCAAGAGCAATTGATGATGCATCAAACAAGTTGTAAATCTATCAAGAGAGGCTTAGTGAGAAATCAGTCTGTCACTGAGAACCTTGGCGTGGAAAAAAGCGTCTCAAAATAAAACAGGGCGTGTCCCAGACATGTAATGATTTAAGTACAGTAATTGCAACACATTGCTCACTTATCAGCTTATTACTCATTTCTTTTAACTACCCCCTGACAAATTTAACAAGTATTAATGAAAATAACTACGGGAATAAAACAAATACATTGGTAATTGATGCATAAAATGGAAAGGATATATCAAAATTAGAAAGGATATCTCACAAAAATAACAATTCTGTCATCATTTACCAATTCACCATTTACCACCTTAGCATTTCCAAACCAGTAGGACTTATTAAATAAAAGAGAGGATATTTTGAACAATGTTTCAACTGTTTTTGTGCATACAATGAAAGTGAATGGGGACCAAAACATTTGACCCTATTGACTTGCAGTTAATTAAACTAGCTAACTAACTAAATAAATAAACTTCTTTTTTAAATATCTAATTTTGAATATATAATATCTCATTTTCACTTTGAAAGTCACCCGTTAGGGTATAATGGAACCATAAAGGATCTTTATTATTTATAAATGGTCCTTTGATATGACAAATACATCTGTGTGACAAAATGCATATGAAAATAATTATAAAAGAAAATGATGTTTTAAATCACATTGCAGGACATATAATTTTTCCAGAAGTATTTCCCAACAGCATCAACTATACACTCCTACAAAAAAAAGTGCAAAACCTTTACTTTTAGGTACAACACCTACTTTACACAAAAAAGTTTATAGTAGTACTTTAACGGTACAAATTACTAAGGTGTCTATAAAATACACCGTTTAAAGGTATGTAAGGTATACAAAGTGCTGTTGTACCCATAAAGGTACAATTTTGCACATTTTCTCTGAGCCCAACATGTTCAGTTATTAAAAAGAGCTGCCATACATTCAATAAAAGAGGGAATAAACACTCACCAGCAATAAACGAGCACCATTACGTTATGGTTTAAACACTATTTTGGTCCAAAAGCAGCAAAAACAATGCCCTTGTCATGAAATACACATTTACATAGTCATTAATGCTGTTCTTAAAACAAGACTCAAAGAAAAGCAAGATATTTAATATGTTCTACTATTTGTTCAAATATACCAAATAATGGTATATTCTAAATCATATTAACTCACCAGGTCAAATCTCTTCTCTGTCCGTTTAAAAAGCATTTCTAATATCATAAGGCTCCAGGCGCTCTTCGATGCACCTGATGCAACATATAAACAAAGACAAAGCAAACAGTGTTATAGAGAATATGAAAAGTCCAGCCCCGATCCCCCTCAAATCCCTGTCACTCAGGAAACATGGCCTTCCTGCAAACAAGAGGTAGTATAGAGCGGGACAAGGCCACAGGGGCAGCTAGTGGGCTGGAAGGATGTTTTTGTCATTGCTTTGGCCCCTGGTTTGGCAGGCAGACGTCCATCCTCAGGAAAAGAGCCTGCGGAGGAAGTGAAGCTGACGTCACAGCCGCGCACAGTCCGTCTGCTGTAGATCAGCACGTGCGCAAAGACAAAGCTATCGGTAGAGTCACGTAAACACAAAAACAGGTGGACTTCACCTTATTGTGCTTCAATACTGTGATCAGGCCTTCTGCCTTTGATCTGTGAGGAAAATAAACATACTTTACTGAGCAAAATTTCACGGCGGCTATACTGCTTTTAAATCATATTGTGTAGGCACACGCACAATAATGACAGTGAAACAATAACAGGATGTTTACAAAGATTTTCACTTTAAGTGAATGAAACATAATGGGTGAACCAAATATAACCTGCTGATATTTAGCAACACATCACATTTATTATGAATCATAAGATTTGTGTTTGTTTGTCCACAATCTCCAGTAGATTGTGAGGTGCTTCACTCGAGTAGCACTTCTGTGTCCTGGACAGGTCAGGTGGTGTAAAGGACACAGCTGCAGCTGACATACAAACACTGGTGGTTTTTGACATCATGTAGTGATGGTCAGACTGTTAACCTCAGCGAAGATACTGCTGCAATAGAGGCCTCGGATTTTCCTCAGATCCATTGAGAAATGGCTATCACAGACGTTTTGGCTGCCTCTGATATTTCAACTGCCATCAATGCATGTAAAGGTAAAGCATGAATGATACTCCACTTCAGATTCACCTCTGTGAATATTACTATGAGAGTTGTTTGTTTTTTAGTCAGAAACATTTTATTCTTTTTTATTTTGTCAGAATATCCGTTGTGATTTTTTTCTTTTTAATTTGATTCTTGCAGCAAAGGATTCTTTCAGCCCAAAGACATTTTTTGCAACAGTAGGCTTGTCAAAGAAGTCTCCTCCTGAGATAGAGAAGGTCTTTAAAATGTTGGACCAGGACAAGAGTGGGTTCATTGAACAGGATGAACTACAGTTGAGTAATTTGCCTAAATACTTTTTTTTCATGTATGTTTATGAGGCAGCTAGAGTGACTGAAAAACGGAGTTGCACAAGTGTGATATGTTAGGGATTGTGTAGTCATTCAGTTTATTACATGGTCAATACATTTTTTACATGGGCATGAAACATTGATTTGAGTTTACTGTTCTCTTATCTTAAAGCATTTCACTAAGAAAAAGAAAATGCATTACAATGTACAATACATAAGACCGTAACAAGACGGACAATATTACAATAATGTTACTAGTTACAGTTAATGTTACTAGACTTCATTTTCAATGCAGTTGATCACTGATACACAAAATTGCATCAGTTGTGTTTGTAAAAAAAAAAAAAAACCGAGAGTGAGTCCGCTGTATAATACAAGAGACATAAAAGTAGTGCCAGTTTTATTTACCTGATAATCACACTGATATACAGAATTGCCATAGAAAAAATTAGGAAAAATTAAAAATGAGGAAACATCACACTGCTGATGTTCACTGTAATAAATAAATGTGACCTGTTTATTCCATGATTGCACAAAACGTTTCAACCAAATAATCTCTACATGTTCACTTATTATATTGTGACTCATTTTCTAGGTTGTTTCTGCAGAACTTCTCTAAAGGGGCTCGTGCACTAACAGCAGCTGAAACCAAGGCCTTCCTCATGGCTGGAGACATGGATGGGGATGGGAAGATCGGCTGGGAAGGTTGGTATCTAAAATACGCAGATATTTTATAAATAAGAGATTAATCTACATCTCCTCATTTCCTGTAGAATTTTCAGCCCTCGTTAATTCTTCCTGAGACCAGCTGTGACTGTCAAACATGGCAAAGAAAAATGATGAGCTTTGCCACTGGTCTTGTCACTCAGTAGTTTTCAAAGCTGAATTGTCCAGGATTGTGCTCTGTCTTCTATGTTTTACTGTAATGTTATTGTATGAACCTAGAAATTCTACAAGAGAAAGGAACACAAAATAAAAAGTTTTCAACAATATTTTTTTGCATCTATATTGTGTATGTCTTGCAATTTATTTATTTAGTGAGTTTTATAATTCAAACAAAATAATTTTGCAGCTGCTGGGTAAACAAGCTAACACATTAAAACTACAATGATGTGTAAAGTACTGCAATATTTGTAAAAGTTTGTATTGTTTTGCATACGTTTTGACATTTTGTGCATTGGTCATCACAATGTTGAATACACATAGGACTATTAATTAAGGTATTGAGTGAAATAGCCTCTTTTAGAGATAAAAAGTGTTTTATCATATTTGCCAGTGATCTGAAACTCCGAAACGTTTGCTGTTGCTCAAATCTCCAGCTGTCCCAGAATCTGCTTAGCATCGTCTTACTGCATGCATAGAATATACATGGGACAGAGACTGTAAATGGGTTGACACCCCTCCTCCCCTTCCACCCCAAGAAAAAAAAAACATAAAACAATATTCTTACACATTTCCCAGTTGAAAAATATCTTAAATTGAATTCAATAATAATTTGCAATGAACAATAAAGAATCCTAACATTTACTGTACTAAACTTCATAAATAAAATAATTAATAGACTGCAAAATAGGAATTTCAGTTTATCCAGCAGGGATTCCTGTTTGACCCCAAAAAATGATTTCAAATGATCAAAGTACAAGGCTAAATGGGCAAAATATACGAATTATGGTACAAAGAATTACTTTACATATAAATGCATTGCACACATTTTCATGCAAACACATTTTCGTGCAACAACATGCAGTGTGTGCACTAAGATGTCCCACATATGTTTCCCATAAGGACTCAGAGCATCCCCTTTTCGAAAGGATAAAAATAGAGCTATATGACTAGTGGACACATTTTAGTTTGAAACTTAACCCAACCTAAGCAAATGGTGTTTGTTACAACCCCAGAGACTAAAGTATAAAAGCCAGGCCCATGGGTGCTTGAGTAGTCGTCGCACATCTGTGGAACAGTTGCCAGCGCAGCGCAAAGGTGAGTTTACCAGAGACACCTTGAGGATCATACACCAGGGCTCGATGAATTTCTCTAATCACCATGGAATATAATTAACGAGAAATGGAGGAATAAAATAAGGATATGAATGGACTTGCAGCAGGACTGAAAATGCGAAAGTACATCTCTGCAATTAACCAAACCAAGGACCATGCTTTCTACTTACTTTCTTGAGTTTTTGGATGAGCTTGCAATGATTGTCAATTTTTTTCATGACTTTTTTGGTGTTTTTCATTTGGCAATCTCACATGAGCTCACAGAAATCATATTTTAACTGTAGGAAGAAGTTTAACCCAAATGGGAGAATTGTTTGAGAATTATTCGAAATGACACTAAATGTTGCAGTTAATGTGATGTTACACTAATTTAGTCAGAAACCTTTATGCATCTTAATGCACCATCATCTTGTTTGCGTCTAATTTCCAGATAAATCAAAATGGCATTTGCTGGAATTCTCAAGGACGAGGATGTGGCTGCAGCCCTTAAGGATTGCGCTGGTAAGACACATCTGCTATAACTCGCCAATAGACTATTGTTTAATTAGCTGATTTTTAATATGGATTCTGTTTTATGTGATTCTAGCTGCTGACTCCTTCAACTACAAGAACTTTTTCGCCAAGGTTGGCCTGAGTGCAAAGACTCCCGATGACATCAAGGAGGCCTTCTTTGTCATTGACCAGGACAAGAGTGGCTTCATTGAGGAGGATGAGCTGAAGTATGAAAGCAACAGACTTAGAATTACTGAATGCATTTATTATATTATATTATACAGGCAGTTTTCTTAATGCTCTTTTCCATTCTCCTCAATGTTCCCAGACTGTTCCTGCAGACCTTCTCCGCTGGTGCCAGGGCACTGACTGATGCTGAGACCAAGGCCTTCCTCTCAGCTGGTGACAGCGATGGTGACGGCAAAATCGGAGTTGATGGTACTTAATCTCATATTCATAATATTTAGGACTTTATAGCACTGAGGATACAAAGCATAACAAGATAAAACATGGTTAAACTACGAATTCTGGTGATGCAATCAAACTTAAAAACTCTTAGTTACAGAACATTTTTAATGTTTGCTTAATAAGTCTTAACATTAATTGATTTATCATCTTTTATAGCTCTTGATTTTGCAGCTACGTTTATATTTATATTTAAAGCAGGTCAGCAAACCAACTAGCAGAAGCAATAGACCTAATAAAAGTGGCGTAAATCTTCATGAAAAACATATTTTTACATACTAAATAATTGTTTCGTTTTGTAAGAATGTCATATGTGGTAGCCTATAAATGATTAAATGATGTCGAGATAGAAGGTACCTCTAAACTTTGAGCTGCTTGAACGGAATGAATTGTTAAAATGAAAAGTGCAAGACTAATTGTTTTTCTTTATCAATGTCTTTCCACAGAGTTTGCTTTGCTTGTAAAAGCCTAAGCATTCATGGACCCTTGTCTTTGGAACCAGAGCTCTGCTTACCTATCATCTTTTTTATATTTATTTATGAATGCCCTGCAAACTCCTCCTTTCAAAGAACGCACGTTCAATGTCTTGAAAAGCTATTTATTATTAATGTTGTTTCATTGCATTGTATTGTTCTGTAAAAAACCTTTTGTGTGCAAACTTACAATCTCTTTTGCACTTTAAGGAAATAAAAATACATTCGATTTAAAACAACATTGTGCATCTTCCTCTTATTTTTTTACATATGAGAGTACAAAAATCTTAACTTTGACATTTCTTAATGAAATTCTTACTTTTACATTACAATTGTTAAAACTGTTACTTTGAAAATATAGGAATATCTAGACATGGACAGTGTTAAGATTCCACAGTGTATATAAGCACAACCAATGCATGCAGAGGTCTAGTTAATGTCACAGAGATATAAGCAGTTTTTAAATATAAACATAATGACCCCTGTCTAACACAGAAACTCATTTACATTTACATTTACATTTAGTCATTTAGCAGACGCTTTTATCCAAAGCGACTTACAAATGAGGACAATAAAAGCAGTCAAAACTAACAAAAGAGCAACAATATATAAGTGCAAATGACAAAGTAAATCTATTTGGTAGTTTAAAAACTTTTATATCGACCGTGTTAGTTGATCTATACTGGGTGATGGGCGCCGCCATGTTAGTTCGCGCTGAATCCGAGCTGTGGGATTTACAAAATACAACAAAGAATATCGTTTACATGTAGCGCGTCAATTCTCTCTGTCCCTCTCTCACTGTATAATAAACTTATACTCAGCCTCCAACTCACACACTGGCGAGTAAAATCTGAGAATTTATTAGCAATTGGCTAATATTAGACATCATTTAGTCGCCCAGAGTAAGATTTAGTCGCATATGCGAGTGATTTACTCGCAATGTAGAGGGTTGTAATGAGCCTTATGCAGGCTACAGGCATCACTTACAGTTCTCAGTGACTGAGTGAGCATGTCACTTTATACTCTGAACCCAAAGGCATATCACACACAACTCGACTGAAGCAAAGCAGGAGAAACTGATTCTCTGAATGCTGGAGTGTACTACTAACAACACAGTTCTATGTAATTGCTACTACTGAAAACAGTATTAAATTAAAATGTCTCATAGCCAAAGAAAGTTTATTCTCTGATCTAATATATGAACGTGCACAAACACTGTCTAACAGCATAACAATTCTGATTTTAAAAACTATAGTAGATATAGTCTTAGTGTCTTTCTACTTAGGCTATTTTCATCCATCTAATTGTAAAGGATTAGCTATTTTGAAACAGCTTTGTCTGTTTATTTACGTTTTCATAATGTAAAGAATGCTGAAAATGTTTCAAAAGATTTCTAAAATCATGCTATACAAAATGTTTTTGAAAATTTTCAAAAATATTGTAACAAATATTTTGTTATAACCAAGAATCACTGTCCCCAATACACTGTCATTATTATGGGAGAAGCTATTCAACTTAAGACTTTTATATCATGATCTGACAGTAGCTTTATTGGGTATCAGTACCAAACAGGTTAATATTTGAGAATTTAGATTTCATTTAGATTCATAATTTCTTTTTATTTTACATTCAGCCTACAGTTTACATTTGAGCATTTAGCAGAAGCTCCAAAAGCGACTTACAGAAGAGGAAGAAAAGCAGTGCATCAAAGAGCCAACAATATGTGTAATACACCAGGTTTATAGACATACCAGATTTATTAGATAATATGATTAGGGAGCAAGCTAGAAAAGAAATGCAGAGAAATTAAGACTGTTTTGATAAATGAAAGTCAAGTCCAAGGCTTAGCGACGTTTCGTTAGACATAATCATCTATAAAAAGTTTCTCTGTAAACAAGGTCCAAATTCTAGTCAGAAACATTTTATCATTGGTCTAATACACACAATAGCTGTCGATTTTATAAATGTATTTAAAATCAAACGTGACGCTGGCAAGCAGCGGTCAAGAGAATCGCGAATCCATACGGTGGACGTTAAAGTAACAAGGACCAACAGCCGAACTCTTTGACTAGCCTATATCTTCATGTCAGATAAACACGTTACAAGCGCTACGATGTCCTGTGAGTTTGCATTTACCTTATATACCTTATATTAAAACAGGTACCGACTGAAAATAATAGTATTACGGGTTAATTTGTGATTCACGCGCTTCCTCTTGAAGCTCCGAGGCGTGAGATGATTTGCTCCAGTTACACAGTTTCTCTCAGGCATGACCTTAACTCTTCCCGCTCATCTTCAGATACATACTAGCGCTTTCATCCATATCAGCATCGTATAGGCTATTATTAGCCGACTCGATATTAAGGACTTATACAAACGTACCTTTTAAGCATCTTCATTTAAGTGCATAAAAATAGAACAGCCTGACTACTGGACAAGTTTTTCAACCAACTGCCCGTCATGCGGTGTCCATTACATTATGCCTTATTTCGGTTGAGTAGTGGTATATAAGGTGGAAGCCACGGAGTTGGTCCTCACTACAGTAGCCAGTTTCATCCCTGCGAATCCAACCCCAAACCCTAAGGACAACCAGAGGTGAGTGTCTTCACAGATGAAACTACAAGAGCTCACAATATCTTGCAAGGAAGAAAGAAAAACGACAAACAACAATGGCCATATGACTTCGGGTTGATCCGGAGAGGATGTGTTGATCACCTGGCGTGGGAATAATTTGTGTCTTGGAGTTTGGACGTGTTGGGATATCGCTCTTTATTAAGCGGTTTGATTACGCCAGACTGGGTGGGATTTATCATAACACACGGTGTTGTTAAAGACATATGCAATTAATATGTGCCTTTTACCAAACATATGGGAGCACATAATTTCTGATGATCTGTTATATGGATGGAGTATTATGAGAGTTTTTTTTAATTAAAAAATTAAAATGTGTAATTGTATATACATTCAAATGAATATATATAAATCCAAGTAAAATAAAAACCTCTGTCATTTTTAGGCTAATCATGGCATTCGCTGGTATTCTGAATGATGCTGACATCACTGCAGCCCTGCAGGCCTGCCAAGGTAACCTGCATGTTTCTGGACCGTCCCATTGACCTACAAGCTAAAGCGAGAACATCAATTTCATGTCGTTCCAAACCCGCATGACTTTCTTCTTTCCGTGGAACACAAAAGGCAGAATGCTATAGAGACTGACAGCCTCAGTCACTATTCACTTTCATGTATGGACTAAGATGCAATGAAAGTGAATGGTGACTGAGACTGTCATTCTGCCTAACATCTCCTTCTGTGCTCCACGGAGAAAAGAAAGTCATGTGGATTTAGAACAACATGAGGGTGAATAAATAATGACAGAATGTTCATTTTAGGGTGTCAACCTCAGTGTAAACATCATTCGCTAGAGTATGGAGCTTGAAACTGTGGATAAGCAACCATGTTTTTCAAGACCCTTAAGTTCTTCTTGGAGTCATTTATCTCCACTATCACGCTAAAATCTTGATGAAATTACCTTCCAGCTGCTGACTCTTTTGAATACAAGAGCTTCTTCGCCAAGGTTGGTCTGTCTGCCAAGACTCCTGATGACATCAAGAAGGCCTTTGCTGTCATTGACCAGGACAAGAGCGGCTTCATTGAGGAGGATGAGCTTAAGTAAGTCTGATCTTAAAACACATTTTCATATTCAATAAACTATTTTTAAGACTTTAAAAAAAAATAAACTACCTTGAACAAAACGCTTAATTGCCTGTTGTGCTCTTCAGACTGTTCCTGCAGAACTTCTCTGCTGGCGCCAGGGCACTCACTGATGCAGAGACAAAGGCCTTCCTGAAAGCTGGAGACTCTGATGGTGATGGCATGATTGGAGTTGATGGTGAGGAATTTGCTCCTTGTCCAATATACCAAATAATATATGTATATAATAACCAGCTGCTCCACAATGTCTTCTGATGAATTCTTTCTCCTTCATTTTACAGAGTTTGCTGCCTTGGTCAAACAATAAATGGCACCTGACCAACAACTTTAGCTGACAATCAGTATTGTAGCCTGAGATCTCCACTTTTTTATCAGGGTGGCTGATTTTTATACATAATTCTAACTGTCCACTCCCATGCTGGACCCGGTCCACAATGACTGTCAACGTCACACGGTCTTTCGCGTTGTAGATATGCATGTTGGTTTCTGTAAAATCTTTGATGCTGTTTTTGGGAAAGGACAATGAGAAAATAAATACTATTTTTCATTTTTCAGTCTCTGCCCTCTTTCTGTGTAAACATTACACTGCCATTATAGCTTAGCTATTTTTTTTTACTCTAAGAGGGGTACATTAGTAATGGCTTTGCAGGATCAGACAGATTAAAAGACGGCTTAGTAAATAATACAGTATAGAAAGTTATAATCGCATAAAAGAAAATTATGGTAAAGGATCATGAAAATGTCTCTGGCAAAAGACTATAAAAATGGGACATAATCAATGAGATATAGATCTAATGGGACATTTCATAAAATACTGTTAAATGTACAGTTTTTGGAAGTGAAAAATAAGAAGTCGTCTTAACTTTCAGTGAAAACTACACTGACGTCTAGTGTTACTCTTCACATTAGATTTTTTTTTTTTTTTCATTTAAAAAAATCTTCGTTCTTGTTATCGGAGGCACAATTGATTGCAATAGAGATGAGGTGGAGGATCTAAGTACTGTAATATGTAATATATTTAACAAAAGAACTCAGGAACTAAACAACCAAAATAACAATGAGAACTAACAACTGAAACAAACCAATAAAGTAAAAGAACATCAAGTGCAAACACTAATTAAACAATGAGTAGGCTACTATAGTAACTAATGGACACAGACAAAGGACAATGATCTATAAACAGTGAAAACTCAAGGTCCAAATAAAGCAAACACAAAACACAGATGACCTGTTATAATCAGTTATGTACATAATGGTTTTATGTTTCTTTGTAACATATTATGTTACATTAATGTTTGCTTGTTTATTTATTACATAAATTAGAAAGCACAGTGTGAACCAAACGTGTGAAAGTACAATGTGGCCGCCACTATGTGGTGTCTGG